TTGAACGAAAAATATTTTTCCGAGAGGACTTAGGTTCGAATTTAAGCAGAAGTTACAAACACAGTTCTGCAGATACGGGCATTTAGAGATAAATGTGAGTCGCCATTTTAGTTTACGGCCAATTGATTATAGCGAAGAAGATTATAGCGAATAGCTATAATTACCTATATACATACATAACCTAAGGGCAGAGGCTTCGGAGCAAGCTACAGAATTTCACCGGACAATTAGCAAAAGCTTTGTTCTACTTGCTCCAAGCTTTCTTCGAGTACGCACGAAATTATTTTTAATATTTAGCTACCGTGCGTAATATCAAAAATCGACGGATTAGCGTCCTTCGACATTTTAACTTGAAGGCTTGCACGATCTTTTTTAAAGAAAGATCACTGATTTCGTGTAAATCGCACGATGCGTATCGCATGATAGAGGTGCATTTAATGATCCGTGCAGGGTTTTTATTTGTTTACATCAACAAAGGCCTAACTTTTCCTAATGCTAATTAAGGGTTAGCTAAGACAAACGAGCGACTGCTAGGATCGAAATAATTTTTAAATATTCGAACTGCATAAACAAACAAACAAACAAAACATCTCTCTATGAAGCTTTGAAGAAAGTACAGTCATTTTATTTAAAAACAGCAAACATCTAGATTATAAAAAGGGGTTTATTCTATACAAACATATCTGCGTGAATATTCTATGCTTATCACGCTTCAACGGCAAGAAAAACTAAAATAATAATTAGTGCAATGGGGGCTAGCCCCTCACATCACGATCTACAAACAGGCCGACATAGCATTTGCCTACCTTTTTTTTTATTTGAATGATTATCCTTACCACAATGCCCACAGAGAGGCTCGTTACAATTCCTATTTTTTTTTACCTGTAAAAAAAATATTTCAAAAAGGTGGTTCATAAAAAAAAATGTTGTTAATCAGGTATTTTCTCAATACTAACATTTGTTTAGCACAGGTCTAAACAGAAGCTACAATAAAACAGAAGCTACAATAAAATAAAAGCAAAAGCCAGTATATATGTGTAGAAATCCTCTAATGAGCCGCGGTAATGGCCTAGAGGACACATTTACATTCGATGATAACAACCCAGCCGAATTCTGATCATGTGCTGTATCGTTTATGTTTTTATCACAGGGTGTTCGTCACTCTTTTGGTGTCGATACACAGATGCCTATCTAATCCAAAACCATTTGTTGGAAGGGGCATCTTTAAAGTTCCGTATCTTTGCGAGCTTGCTTGCGCCGACAATCAGGCCAGTGTGTTGAAGGTCCGAGAGTCATTTGCTCATCGGTCTCTGACGGGGGGGGGGGGGGGGGGGAAATTTGTATCGATACAACAAATTGACAATAGTATCTATGCGTCTAATAATATCCGAACCGCTCTCAATATTATCGAGTCCCTTGTAGAAAAATACGAACATAAGCACACAGAAACAAGCAATTTAAGTTAAGGACGAACGTATAATACTTATTAATTGATCAACTGGACGGCGGGACTGGGAACAACGAGTAATAGGTTTATTGGAAAATATGGAAGACATGTAGTTGCTTGTCTAATACCAAATATTCAGGTAAGCGGTATCGAAGAGCCAGCTTACTTTCGAAAGAAATACAATTAAAAATAGCCACCAGATTAGATGATCAGCAAAAATTCAACAGTTTATATACACTGGCTCATATTCCAAAACTATGGGGTACTGAATATTGATGACCGCCTCTTATTACTGCGGCATGTGTAGCTATAGACATGGCAGGTTATTTTGTTACTGCTTTATGCTGAAGATGGTTTACAAATTTATGTTATTTTATTGAGGAGCTAAAGTATTGGTACTCGAAGTACTTAATCATTCAGAAAGCCCTGGATCCATAAGACTGTCGGTTCTCGCTGCGAGTGATCCATATTGTAAAAGTGATCTTGAATGGTTCAGTCTTAGTTATAAGATCGAGTTATAGAATGCTGGTGCCTTAGGCGTTTCTGTGTGTATATCTGTGCATCGTTTTGCAGAAAGGAACCGGGTGATGCGGTGCACGCTAATATTCATACGAATATTATTGCAACAGATGTTATAGCATTTGTAAATTTTGTACGGGCACAGAGCGGTTTGCATCGAATTGCCCCCATATTCCCATGCTGGGTCTGGTAAAAAAAAATGGCTACTGAGGACCACTATGTCCCGTTAAGGCAGATTCTAAATTAACACTTTACACATCCAACATGTCGAAAGAAAAACTGCCAAAAACAGCAAGTGTGCACGTCAAGTACTTTACTAGTAGTTGTTTGTTTGTTTGCTCAATAATGGCGGATGAGTAAAATGGTCTAGAATTAAGTTTCTGGCTTATGGCAAGATCTGTACCTACAGAGTAAATTAGCCACGACGAACAGCAACTTAGAAACTGAACCCATGATAAGTTCTCCCGTTACATACGAATTGCCGATACTAATGTGTCAAACCATAGTCAGAAAATAAGATGGAATAAAAATGCCTTGATAGTTTAAGACTCTTCATTTTACATCTGTACAATATATACATAGGATATTTATACATACTATATTAAGTATATATATATATATAACCTTTTTCTAAAACTGTTGTAGAATAACAAACATACATCACATGGGGTATTATAGTGGTAAAATTACTGTTTATCACCATATCTCTATTTCGGCCATTGCAGTAAATTTAATAGCCAAAACAAAACTTAATTTTAGTCACTTGTATAAGGTTAGAAAATTTCATAAACATACAACAAAGGCAAAGATATCAATAGATTAAGCACAATATTCAGATCAATATTAAAATTCATACTCTATTCTATACTCTAAATTCATACTGAATTGTTGGACGAACTGGAATTGTATTGTAACTTTATAGTAAATTAAGCTGTCGTCTGTTACAAATTTAATTACAAAAGTACAAAGTTAATTTAGCTTATTCATATAGCATTTTCTTATCAACAATTAGGGGCATTAATGACTCTGATATACGGCATTGGATCCGCAAGATCACTAGCTAATGAGACAAATTAACTATAGTCACTTGTAAAATGATCATAATTGGATGTTGTTCCCAGGATTTTTTTGTATATCGGCAAATGGTCGTCGCCTTCCCTCAAGGGATTCGGGTTTAAGATGCACAAATTTTCTGTACTATTACACTACCAGCTGGCCACCTTCATTGGATTTTGGTATACGACGCTAAAATTCGCGTACGAGAGTTCTGCTCTTGAAGATTTCTGAAACACCGTTGGGGGTGGGTGTACGTTGTCGGTTCAAGCTCTTCTGAAGAAGCGTTGTGTAAAGTTTCTCTGAATAGAACCATAAAATACTTGTGATATTTACTTTCGCTACAAGAACGTCGTAAAGACCGATAAATCCTGCCATTCGTAATGGAATCGTCAGCGTAACATTTGAAGAAATCTATGTCGTGGCTGTTTGTTTACGTTGAGCATTTTTGTCTTAGTTGTTTCGATATTGCTGTTGTTGTTATGTTATGTTCTGAAGCATTGGGAACCTAAAAAGTTAACGGTGGTAAGTGGAAGTGCTAACAGAACAAAGCTCATAGTGGGAAATTTCTATTCACCCTCGTATAACGAGATCGTTATGTCATGCCGAAGCATTGTAGACCGACAAAGACACGATCCAACCAAGTTCTGTGTCACACGTAAAGAAAACGATCCAAGAATATTGGTCTATATTTGTTAGAGGAACAATGCTAGACATCATTGTATCTTCATACTGTTCATGCGAACAACAGACTGTAAACTTTACTCAATCACTGACATCCCATCCGAAGACTAGCCCTCGCCTCTATGTCTATTTATGCCCAATCGGTTGACTTGTTAGATGCATGCTTATATCAACGACGGTTTGTGCCTTTACATCTGTAACCTTTTGTTTATGTACTTATTCAGTATTGATCGTTTCGATTAGATGTGCTAGCCGTAATATAGACGGTAATCATTTATTGCATTGCTACCTACCCGGCTGGTCATGATTAAAAAAAATCGACCGTTTCGACACGGGACCCATTTGGAAATTGTCACACGATGCGACATATATATATAGACCACATGCGTGCCGATGGCATATAAGCGGATCATATTTCTGAATCAAGGATGCATATAACAATGGCCGTTGAATCTGTCCTGGTCTATCCGGGGATGCGTCGCGATGACAAAAAAAAAGAAGACGCTCCAAGGTTCGCTTATTGCAGCAGGAATTGTTAGGTAATGGGGTAAACCATCAACAAGAAGATTTATTTTTAAGAAATCTACCCCGCTTACTGAGACTCCAGGGCTGAAAGCGAATCGATGACAGCGTTGTGAAGAAGTTCAATTAACTTCGATTCAGGGGAACATATTTGCAAACGGCTTTAAAACCTGACATTACCCCACTTGTGTCGAGCCTTAAACATGAGAAAACGATTAATATTATCCAGCTGGACTCATGCTAACTGGATGTTGGCAAATACGGATATTTAACTCGCGAGTTCGTGACTCATAGATCAAGCTTGCAGCCACCTATACTTCGTGACCATTTGAACCTTCCTTTTGCTGCCATAAACATATAACCCCGTAAAACATAGGGGGTCGACTACGTAAAAAAAAGTGATTTTTCAATAATATAGATAGCCATAAAGAGATGTGCAAATCATTGTCTGTTGAAAGCCAACTTCCGAGCTAATTGAACTCAATTGTGCCTCTATGCATTTTAGAAAGCCACTTATTCGTCAATAAATTAAAAAAATCACACGTTGAGCTAAAATTTCGGTGACTATAGCAAGTAATTGAGCCTTTAACAGACGTCTGTATCATTAGTTTTCTTTTACTAATTCACCCAGCCATTCTATGTAAGTTCACTTACATCCAATGATGTACAATAATATGTTTATTTGCAAATTGTGTATAGCACATAGATAATGCAGACGACAGCATATAGTGGTACTCATATCATGTACGATCATGCGTGTGTCTGAACGTTTCAGGCAGCGAAGCCGCAGCTCCTCTGCCCCGACCTCAGGCTCTAATTCAGCCATCATTGTCTGATCTTCCAACGGTAACTGTACGAGGTTTCCTGAACTTCCGGACAACTGTCGATGGGACCGTAATTGTTTTCACTCCGTCGTCTGAGACGCCTCAACAGAATCAGCCGAACGAGCCGATAGGTAAAAGAACAGAGCATTCAGTTAATGTTATTTCTAATATATGTGTAGTTATCGGTCTTGTTGTCCAACGGTGCGATCCATTTTCGGTCGATTCGAACGCAAAGGGAAAGTTCAATCTATAATATACTGTGTAATTTATAATAATGTCTATGTAAATTATACGCAAATAGGCCATAGGTGAATGACGTTTGCCCATTTTTACCGGCGACATGAATAAGAATTTGCGCTTGCAAATTATAAGACCTACTATGACATTATTAACCCAGTGCCCTCTAGCGGGTTTTGCCACTGAGTAATGACAGTGAGTTTAATAGCGCATACGCCCATAGAGAAAATACCACAGCCCTGTTTTAGTTGCATATCTCTTTCAAAATACGTTTCTCGTAGGATGAAACGTCGTCCCATAGTCCCGTTGCCCTTTGCCCTTTGCTTACGTATGCGTATCGTTGAGGTTGTTATGAGTAGACTATTTTATGCTTGTGATAACTTGTTAGCTGATGTATTTGCCTAATAATTTTAGGGATACATCGCGAGTTCGAGCATACATACATACGCCTGCCTTGCTGTTGACAGCCAGCCATATGATGGAGCACTTAACGGCTATGCCGAGTCCAGACACCTAGAGGCCTTTTATCTTGTAGGGTTATCATATTCTTCAACGAGTGCTTCATAGTATTTTTTTTTCGTTTGCACGTAAAAGAGAACAAAGTGCTCATCAATTTTTGCTTGATAGAAAAATGTACTTAACTCCCTTATTTTTGTTCATTACTTATCAACGTTGAGCAAATTTTGCTACGTAAAGCTTGACATAAATTTCAAATACCTTTTTTTCGCGATTTGCTAGTCTAGTTCTGAAAGGAAAATCGATCGTTCGCAGCGGCAGGGACTAAAGTATGTGATTGAATTGCTATATAGGCAAGCGTTGTCCTTAAAGGAAACTTTTTTTGCAGTTAGCAAGTTTCTCTGTAGTCGAACCATCGAGTCTATCATCCACTGAATTTAGATTCGCTCAGAAATTCAGAATAAACAGCACTGCACGTTGAGTGCATAATTTGTTTGTCCTTAAGCCTTCGTCTGCCTAGTAAGTGAAGGCCGTAAAAGGCCGTGTAACACAAATGAATAATAATCATGTTATATAGTCATGCTAGCTTTAATCATCTTGTTACTCATAGGTATTGTTCAAATTCAATTACGCATGTATCCTTCGATATCTTATATGCTCTCCATGTCCCAGTAGTTGAAATAGTGATGGGGTGCTAACCTTTTTTCTTGTCGCCTACGCCATTACAGCTCCTACAAAGACGGCGCAGATACAGATTAGTCCAGAATCGACAGTACTTAAGCCAGGCACACCAAAAGACTCCTCACTTGACAAGACACAGGACTTCCAAGACCTTTCGCAGGCAAACAAAGTATTCGGCTTTGAGATCGAACCCGATGATGTCGACGGTACCGTCAGGTAAGACAAAGAATTAATAAAATTGATATATATATATATATGAATCGACAAGTGCTTGACATCTAATAAGAACTGGAGCCTGACCATTTGAATGGACTATCATAACCTCTATAGAACTATTGAAGTTTTTTATTTTATGCAATTATTTTTAGTTGACCATATGATCCTTAGTACTGTTTCTGCTTTCGTTAGTCGGAAAAGCTGTCAACATTTCTTATACGAAAGACACCGTGAAAAGCTCGCACTTTATTGACTGGTATGAATATAATCTAACATTATATAGATGAATTATTGTTGGAATTTCAACACGATACATCTGTTTCAATAGTACAGGAACAGTAAACTTGAATATCTCCTACATTATGTTGCAGTGGTTTAATGTTTAACAGGTAAATCTAAATGAGAGTGCTATACTTTAAACACAATTCGGTTAGTTTTATTAACGAAACGAATTTATCTACTTTTTTATCGTCTATCACTATGACCAAAATAACCCCCTGTGTTGCTACAATTCTAAACAAACAACCGTCGGACCCATGTTGTCTTCATCCGTTCGATAGTAGTTTCGAACCTACACACGCTCACTCTATACCAACTTGAATAAAGACTGGCTAGCCTTTTTGGATTATTTTGGGGTAGAGCTGCCAGCGCTGTCAGTTGTGGGGCATATGAACCTGCTTTTTGATCATGCCTATCAAGGTAGCCTTATCGCTGTAGCCGGCAAGAGTTCCGAGAAGCGACCCTAATGCGCCTCCGTACCCCCTACTATGTGAACAAGTGCAGCAAGAAAAGTTAAGAAGAATTAAGCTTAGGGTCCGTTCTCGGTTTCTTATATGTGCTTTAATACATGCGTCAGATTCTGGTGACCCAAAAAACCTTGTAGATAATTCGTAGAATTTGTGCTTAGAGTATTTATTGTTGATCGATAACATTTCTGATGTTCCAGGATTTACATGAAGATGACTATTGGTCAAAATTCAACCAAGATTCTAATTGTAGCTTCAAACAAAGTTTTGAAAAAAAATCTTTTTAAAAATGTATAGTCTCATATAAAAGGCCGTTCCAAATTGAAAAAAGCCCACAACAGATAGACCTTCCGTAATTTACTCTAACGGATTACGTTTGATAGAACTTTTTTTTTACCCTTACTATGATCATAATTATATAACCAACAGTACCTTTATCCATTAGTAACATAAGGTTTGATAATGTTATTTTTGTACAATGAGGATTTATGGGACTATCGTTATCATCTAAAAGAAGATCGTAGCAAAAGTTTTTTTTGTACCACGCCCTATGCACGTTGCCAAATGAGATTGGTAGTTTGCGAACAATTTCAATGATCAAGAAGCTCTATAACTGATAGTAAAATTTTAATTTTAAACAATTCCAATACAATAAGTGCACACCCATCCAGGGTTAGTGAATGGTTTTTACCTCGACACACATAGATTTTTCGAACGCACGTTAGGTTATACCTGAAAACCATACTGTTGCCCAACGTACATTTCTACGTTGCACATCCGACGTGACAAGCTGACACGTTTTAAGGTTGGGTTTTGGATAGGTTTTACAATAGTAGTTTTTAGTTACAAGACACAGGCATTACTCATACAGGTTATATTCCTCTAAGAGCTTGAAAAAAACCAGAAGAAGCTGCCAGTGAAACGTAATTCTCGGCCGGTCTCAATAAGTAATTAAATAAACAATATTCGTTTTCTGTATGAAAGAGGTATTCCCACCGATATTTTTACGAGGACATCTGTTGCAAAAAAATATCAGTATAATATTTTTTTAACTGTAGATCCTTTAGTTGTTGGTCAATTTCCGGCGGGGCGCCATGTGCTATGGCTTTTATAGAGAGTAATATATATATTTTTTAGGTATGATGTGTTTAGTAATACATGGATCGATTTTGTTTTCCTTATAGCTACCCATATCTTAAATGTGGAAGGCCAATAGGTTTTGATAAAGGCCGAATTCTACCACTAATTAAGTCCTCCTAGTAGGATTAAAACTCGACAAACGTAGATTTATTTACTTAAAACGGAGTTTTGGGCTTCTGCTCTCTCCAGTAATCTGCCGATAGATGTCTCACTTTTCTCAAGGGATCATGATGTGTCTAGACGGGCATTTAGGCGCTCTAATGTGATTTTTTATATGCACACAAGCCAATTTTTTAATTTATACCACATGTTATTGTCAATACGGCTTCATCAGGTTACCTTTCTAAGACTAATTATATCAGTCCGTGTCGTGCGTTTACTTATTACTTTGATATCCATTACACTGCACTTTGTTGCAATATATTGAAAATACTTACGATAACGAAGACCAAAAAGCGGTTGTATAGAAGGGACTCTGCGTATTCTGAGACAATGTTTGTCCACTGGGGACACCTTTTTATTCGACAAAAGCTTTTAGTTAAGAATCTAGACATCCTAGATCTACAAAAGTCAAAATATAATTATATTGCCGTCACCGGCAGATAAACCAACAAATCTGCAAACTGAAAAGTAAAGCAAGACCTACTACCCATAAACCTGATCTATCGATTTGTAATGTATACATGAAAATGAATTCCATTCAACTAAATACCCTAATGCGACCGAAGGCCAGATCACTATTATTATCTTTGACTCATAAGAGGGATCCTGTTTCTTCTCGGAATCCTTTTTCTTTTCAGTTCCGCGGCGCCCACGGTTCCCCCGGTGAGTAAAAAGACCTCGTCGACTGCGGCAATCTTCCCTGTGAAGACAACGAGTGCACCAACTACCCCTAAGGCCACTACCCCGAAGACAACCACCCCTAAACCGACTACCCCTAAGCCTACGACAAAAGCCACCACCCTAAAGCCGACGACAAAAACGCCTCCTAAGACAACCCTCGTTACAAAACCCACTTTTAAAGGAGCGACCCCGAAGGACGCGAAAATCTCACAAAGTAACGTCCCAGTTACTCGTATTGTTGAAACAACCGCCTCTTCTGCGCTATACCCAACCGGTAATGTCCCTTACATTCAAACAGACGAACTCGACAAACACGGTTATTATTAGTCTTTTCTTAATATTTTGTATGCACTGTAGTCCTATGTAGAACTGTTTGTTTATGACTCGTAGTATATGTATTCGACCCTCGCAGGACGTCCATCGAAACTATGGGTCGTAGCTTTATCAATTAAAAGCCGGCATACATTAAGCCTATGTTATACAGATTGTCCGTATTCAACCCATAGTAAAGCATCCGATTAAGGCTCAGAATAGATTAGCCTACGGTAAAAAGACGTTAACGTGAATTTTATTGACAAGTTCTAAACGAATCAGGCTTTTTGAATCATTCGAGTTCTGTAAAATTAGAATGAAATACCTCTGAATTCCGGAAGTAGCTTGTATACGGCATCCCATTGAAATGAAGCTATAGTAACTGCAGTGTGATTTTTCGTGCGTGGAACGTTGCCAAGCTTTGTATGATCTCGGACTAATCACGCAGGTTGCTAGTTACCTACTAGTTACTAGTTAGATGGTGCAGCGGTAACGTGTTTACCTATTGAACTTTTAGACACGTGGGATAGTCTATGTCGGAACACAACCGGGAAGACGCCGGGCGCAAACACGTTTTGTTCCGTGTTACGATGGACCAGCTTCCTAAGGACGTGTTATCAAAAGTATAGGTTGAAACACTAATAAGCATCTTCTATGTTCCAATGGACTGCGACGAAAAGTGTTAGTTTTATAAGGTTTTTTTAGTTCGGAGATAAATTAGTAAGCCATGAATATTGCCAAGCTGCTAAGATAGAACCTGTCGTTACGGGGAGAAATAACTTTTGTTGTTGAACAGTATCTACACACTGTTAAATTATTATTAGAAATCAACAAAATCTAGATAACAGCTATCAATAAATTAAAGGATAGCCCAAAAAATACTAAACTCAAAAAAAAAGGCTACTAAACTAAAAACAAAGGCTCTCTATTGATATGACAATATAGCAGTACTATGTACTGGGTTCGAAAAGTCGGTTGCTTAGTCAGTACCGTAAATATAGGTAAGAAGAGCATCGAAATGTGGCTGTATTGAAATGGGCCTTCTGCAGTGGGAAGCCTAGCTCATCGCGCTTTAGTTAGTTATTATTTATTCCTGGACACCCGGTACGCGCACAGCTTTTATTAGGGCGCTATGGTGTCGATGTATATGACACGTGTGAATGCATGTGGTGTTTATAGTTCTTTATAGTAAACCTATATAATAAAATCGACTGTTTTGTGATGAGTGGGCCATAGCATTAACAACTTCTTTGTCTGGTCGTAATCATCCCTCACGTACAGTTCCGATAAGCCTGTCTGGATGATTGCTCTCTGGCCTTCGTCCGGTGATTCGCTCAAATTACCAAGTAGTCTTTCTCTGCTGTCTGGCAACTTGTATATAACTCATCTAGAACATTTAAAAAAACATGCAAAACATCTGTACACCTCTCATGTCGAAAAGGCTGCCAAAGCTTCCTACACTTCCGTCAGTATCACCTGTTGCATCACATACTGTCATTGTGGAGGTAGCAACGCTTTGTTAATGTTCATTTTTACAGGAAAACAAAAAAAAAAAACTTGCCGGATTCGCGGTAAATTACGGAAACAGGTAACTTTTTCCTTGTGGAGGCTCTCGGTAATCTTGTTTTTATGAAGGCTTCACAAAATAAATGACACGTTATTCTTATAACACTTATCACGGGGGAAACTTGGTTTTTCGCATTACCACTCTGCCTTCCTGTTAGTTAATTTTCGATTTTTTTTTTTAATTTTGAGAGCGCGAAGAAATCTGTTTTCTTTCAACTGTCTTTCTAACAGGCTGGCTCTTCACTTACTTAATACTACGGATTATATTGTGGACGCTAGTGCCTCTCTTTGGGTTGGTCCTCTGGCGGCCTGGCTATTCTCGCTATGAGTAGTACTCCTCTTGTCGTTGGGAGTTCCTTCGCAAGCCTGCTACCTTTAGTACAATATGCACAACTATCTTTTAAAATTCCTTAATCTGTCTGTGGAAACTATCATCTCCCGACCCTTTTAGGTCACCTTTCGTTGTAGAGGAACAAGAAAGGCCTTTGCTTCTTTTGACCGAAATCCTGCTTGGGAGACGGCTTAGCATCATTATTTAGCGCTTTTAAGTTGAGTTTAATTACTCTTGTTCGATCCAGCTTTGTGATACGTCCCTACCCTCTTAGTCAACATGGCGCAGATAGCTTACTTGTTTATTAGAATTCTAGGTTTTATTTAACTAACTGTACAAAATACTGAAGGACGCGAAGGATCAGTTGTAAGCCTGCCATCCACCATTCGTTAAAATTTCGCAAATCATAGATGGAACTGAATTTCAAGCACCAGTAAAAACAAACACCATACGAAATATACCAGCAGTACCAGCCGCCTATTAAGTGCGCTCAGGCGCTCAAGAACATTTCGAAACAGCGTTAAAGCGCGCCATTTACCTCGAAGATACCATTGGTGAAATGCAGCAAGAAAAGGAAGGTGGCATATCATTCTTTTATGTAGATATGAATTTCGAGAAGGACACGGTGCGTGCAACAGGGAATTTAATTTACTTCACATACGAGACTGGTATATATATATATATATATATATATATAATGCGTTAAGCGTTGCGATAACATGAAAATATAGTATTTCTGTGCAAGTTTTCTGTGTTCCGTAAATTCCCTCTGTGTTCCGTAAAATTTTCATATTTTATAGCAAAAGCTACCTTCTCCTTGCGATTAGTGCCTTATTTCACATACGAGTGTGCCTGCAACTTCATTTAAACTTCTATGTTTGTTTCGTGCTGAAGTTGTGCAATGACTCATTGCGATCGTAGTGAGACCTGCATTTGGGCCTGTCGTAGGCATTTTCGTAAGATATAAGCAGGTAGATGAGCATAATCATGATGGCGTTTCAAATGAATATTAAGACGGAAAAAGAGTAAATGGAATTTTCATCATCTTCTTTTGCCGAGCTTCAAGGTTATTATAAATCTGTAGAAAAACACCGCAGACTCCACTTAAATACAGCGTTATAGTACAACCATCAGTTCTGAAAGAAGAAGAAAAGATCGTCAAAGGTCTCAGCTTGGGTATCTAGTAAGTTCTTGTTGAAGGATACGTCAAAGTTCTGTTTTTCTCGTAAATTGTTACGTTGATTAGCTTGCCTAAGAGCCACAGTAAAAATGTGATCTTTTAAAGAATGGTTTGAAGAAGTTGTGCTGACAAACAAACGAAGTTCAGGCTTGCGCAACAGCCGTAGAATTTCTTGTAATTGCTATGTACCTTATATAATTTTTTTGACTAAATCTAATTTTCTATTAAATTTTCTAAAGGTTGTCATACCATACACTTAATCGTAGGAACTAAAAACAATTATTCCCTGAATAGTCTGTGTAATTTTCGGTCGAAGGGAGACATGGAAAGCAAACAACTGAGAGAGCAATAGACTAGTTGGCGTTGCCTTGAGATGACAGAGACACAGGCCGATTAGCAGTTACAGAAATATGTGTCTTAGCGCTAGGAGACATCTTGAATAGATAAGAAAAGCATGAAAAACAAGTTGATCTATTGTCTAAATCGCTAATGATTTATGACCTCAAACCGTAGACAGATAGATAGTATTCGTTAAGCTTGCATACAAACCAAATGTCCTTATAGCAAACCTTTATGGTCATTAGTCGCTCCTTCGTAGTATGCTTAGGGCAAACGCCCAGCATTGAAAGACAGGATTACAAAAAAAAAGAAAAAAAAAAATGTCAAACATTGTTTAAATCAAGTTCGAATATTTAACGATACTAAAATGTATAACTTTTATGAAGTTATTATTTGTGCTGAGAATGCTAAAGCAACCGATATGCGTTATACCGCTCGCCACTGATCTGTTCATCAAATGTCTCTCTGATACGTTTCTCTGAACTGTATTGAATTGAAGAAAATCGGCGTAAGGATTGTATATTGGTACGTCCCATACTTCATCAACTTAACAATTCAATGAATAAGACACTCGAACCTCGTTTAAAGCAGCCTTCAAATTTACAAAAATAATTGCAATAACACGTGCGACTTTTCATACGTGGATCCACTGATTAATCCATCCGTTTGTCGTTTTTGCCTCCTATGGATTTTGCTTTTTCTCTTAAATGAGACTGAATCAACTCCTTTTATCGACACAATGGCCATCAGAACCTAATAAAGTAAGTGGCCAGTTATTGTCAAGCTTTCACGTAGAATCGTCAAACAACGCTGGGCTTACGAGGGTTAATACGTCTCGTGAGAACAATTCACATTGATTCAATTCACTGATTAGTGGCGCATATCGACCCCCTGGAGCTTTCGGATCACGTTTAGTTCCGCACTCCTGTGTAGTGTTAATGCCCTTTTATTATGCAGCGGCCATGTATTTGAGTATTTTAGGTTAGGCTAGTAGCTACAAGATAGGCGTGTAGTCTGTGTTAGGTCGTTGCAGAAGAATGAAGCCCCCTGTCAAGTATTATACAGAAAAAAATTTAAGACAGTGAATCGTTTGCAAAATTGTGATAAAATAAGTCACGAGTTACATCGCTGTGAAGTAAGGTATAACTTCACAACGGGATGCGTTATTAACGGGTGCGTCGTAACGATTCATAATTGTCTTACTTCGTTACCAATATTACCGTACACATAATAATAGATTGTTGTTGTAACGTTCAACACTACTTAAAGTAAGTTACCGCCACCGCTAATTTTCAGTGGTAATTCCTTTTACCAGTCTGCATTACGTTGCTTCTTGATTGATATATGTGTCCGATTGTTATGATTGAAACATCATCTTGTTTCAGTCTATTTTGCCTATAAACATTGGCATTTAAGAGCGATCAAACCTAAAGCGGAACAAGATAGCACATTCACAAAGCCATTGAACATCTTTCTCTGTGTGATATCATTTTAATAAGCGTTTCTCTTTCGACTTTCTCGGCCCACTCTGTACGCTTTTTCTTTT